CTCCCCCTAACTTCCCCCGACTACTGGCAGGCTCTTCCCCAACTGCCCTCACTGTCCACCTGATCGCTCCCAACGGCCCAGCCTGCCGGCATGCTCGTCCCTAACTTCCCCCCACCCCCGCCAGCCTGCTTGCCCCAAACTGCTCCACCTGCCAGCCTGCTCACCCCAACTGCACCCCCTGCCAGCCCGCTCTCCCCCAACTCCCCCCCACCAGCCTACTTGCCCCCAACTGCCCCCACTGCCAGCCTGCTAGCCCCCAACTGGCCCACCCTGCCAGCCTGCTCACTCCCAACTTCCCTTCCACCCACTAGCCTGATCACCCCCAACTGCCCTCCCCTCCTAGCCTGATTGCTCCTAACTACCTCTGCCTCAGCCTGCCACCATGGTTTTGTCGGGAAGGACATCCAGTAGAGCACTAAGGTCACTCATAGGCAAAAGCCTCTTAGCATGTGGAATTTACATGTGCCTCAGCAAGAAGACAGTTTATCTCCTATCAACTTTCTCTTGAAGTATTCAAACCTTGAATGTTAAATTGCAAATGCATTCTGTTTTTAATAGAAAATGCCTTAATCAGAGTGCCTATTCTTAGTCAGACCAATAAGCACTTAGGAAATAGTTATTTTACATTACTTTAAGCTAGGGAAGGACTTTCCAAGCTTGATACCAAAAGCAAAAATCACAACGGCAAAGAATGGCAGGCTTAACCACATTGAAATCTCTCTACAGCAAAGAACTCCATCATCAAAATCAAAAGGCAAATTAGTTGACAAAGGTTGTAATCTCTAATTCAGATTTTCTCATGGTGTGATCAGAATGCCACTGTGCAATGGGAGAGGAATTTTAGATGGTTCCTAGATAGAAAACTGTATCTTAGGCACTACAGCAGGCAGGCCTGGAGAGTAGTTTGGCCTCTTAAATCACACCTTGTAAGTAGCTACATCCTTAGATGTCAGATCCGGAATATACACTCATGAAATCATGAACTCTGAGACTCACTTAGAGAAGCACAAAAAATGTTTTGCATTTTTTTTCCCTTGGAAACCTGATCTCTCTCTTTACTACTATATATCAACTCAGTAAGGGAGAGTGAATGAATTAGCACATGTAAAGCAATTAGAAATCTTTGCTATTATCATTTTCTGAGCATATAAGTGTGGGAACCAGTTGTTGTCAGCTCAGAAGCTTAAAGGCAGGCTCCTAAGGTTTTTAAAGGTACAAGGGAACTCCAATTCAGAATATCTCAGACTTCCCCAGGCAGGTATGTGTGCTTGGGAGCCAAACGCAGCAAAATAGAGCCGATTAAAAAGTTTTGGATAAAATCTTAGAAGTAAATCTGAATGACAGCAACAACAATGACAACAACAGAATATGGAAAAAAATTCCATTTCAGATTGCTACCCCTTATTGATCAAAGAATAAGGCCCCTCAAATTTCAACTTTACCAGTTTTTTCATAGGCTACATTTAAATTGGAAATTTTAGCTGTTTGTCCAGCATATTATATCTGCCACCTAAATTTTCCAGTTTTAGAAGCATATTCAAATGATAAGGTTGAGTTCCCTCATAACAGGGTGACCAACCATTCCAGTTTCCCTGGGACTATTGGAGTTTAAACACTGAAAGTCCCATGGCCCAGAAAGGTATGGTTGGTCACCCTACCTAATAAAGATATTTTAAACATTTGGTTAGTTTCTCAGGTAATATTTACCTCTGCTTAACAATTTTTTCTTAATAGACAATTATTTAGTGTCTGACAGATCTTAGGTGGAGTTTTCGTCTGCTTTTCATTGTGAGATATTGGACAAGTTACTTAATTTTCCCAAGCCTCAATTTTCTTTGTTATAAAATGAAGAAGGGTGATAGTAACCATTTCATGGGTTGGTATAAATATTAAATGAGATTAGGCAGATATAATGCTTAGTGCAAACTGTAAATGCTCAATAAATGTTAGCTATTAATCTATTATAGTTATTAGTTACCTAACGCAAGATTAAAGGTATGGTGTTTAGTAAAACACACCTCTCAATAGTTTAGAGAAACCATTTACATACCAACAAGCCACATGCCCATTACCACTGAGTTATGAGTATACATACAGCAGCAATGTCCATCAGGACTTCTCCCAGACTATTAGAGTTACACACATGGTTCAAACAGAAAACAAATACAAAATCACATTTAAACCTTAATAAGGATTTTCCAAGAGTAGGTTAAAGTTGCTTTTTTACATTTTACAATTGTTACACCAACAATTAAGCAGTCATCTAACCAAAAAAAAAAAAAAAACTTTATTTCATATGGGCTATATAACTAAGAAATCCAAGGAAAACCAAATGAGTATAAAACACACCACCTACCCTCAAACTGCTTATTTTCTTGTGTTCAAAGGACACTGGGAACTAAGCTGAGAACAAGGGAAGGGTAAAGGGAGATAACCAGACAGAAATCAAGAATGTGCCTCTCCCCTCCCAAAAATATAGGAACTCTTCCAGGAGGAAAATGGACTGCAGGAGGAGAGGCAGGGAGAGTCTCTTCTCCAGAAAAGGTAGCCTTGAAAGTAGATAAATTAAAGGGGAAAAATACACCACACCCCAACAGGAATTTGAAATATCAAAGCATTAAATGGAATAGAAGTGAAATTGATGACTTAAGTATAAATACAGAAATCCAGGGAATAAATGAAGTAAGAAAGATAAAATTTTCTCTCAGGAGAAGTCTTTCCAGCTCAGATATTGGAAAAGTTCCATGACCAGCAATAATGGTCTCCTATTTCTGCTAATGAGCATGTCATTCTAGGTAAAACCTAAAGCAAATTCAGAATTCCCAACCTCAAATATCTCAGTTATCAAGAAAAAAGTAGAACTATTTTGTCCTGCTAGAACTAGAAGGCTGTTACCACAGGACCCTGTCACACTCCCCAGCCTTACAGAAAGAAAGGCTTATCTGTTTTGGACACTGAATTCCTCTGATGCCAGGAGTCAAAGTGCTCAGGTCCACATTTCCAACAATTTGCTCTGCTCCCTCCAACAATTCCCTCAATACCCACACGCCCCTACCCTATATTATTTATATGCTTTGCCAATAACCAAACCCCAATGTACAGGTGTCAACGGACTAGGGGACAAAGTAGGTCTTTCCATTTGGAGAAACCCAGACAACCGGAAAGCCTCCCAAGGTGTGGCACAAGTGAACACTTCAGTCTCTCGGTCTCAAACCTCAGTCTCACACCTCACTCACGCAGATCCAACTGTCCTAGGTCCCAAGCCTAGTAACCCAACTGAGGAGTGTCTCCTCTTACACATCAATAAGGCTGTTTGGGGGCAGTTTCTCTCCTAGTTGAAAGAGTGCAAATGTGACAGGAGCTCTTTCTAGGTATCTCCGTCACCCCTCCCCCACTGCCATTCTCCTACCAAGCTGAGCTGGATTGTTAGGAGCCTGTTAGGGCTTTTGCTCGGTGGGGTTACAGCAGGTGTGATCTGAATACAGTTATACTAATCTTTCATCAAAATGAAGATTCCCTAAAAACACACTACAATGAGGCCTGGTTTTGTTGGTCTTTTAAGACAATGAAATAAATTTGTACCTAATGTGAAATAATAAATGATGAAGAGCTTTGATGGGGTGGAAAATACCTGAGAAATACAACTTGTTATGATAATGCTAACATATTCAGAAGCCCTGCTTGTTCCCTCCTGGAACTTTAGGGGTTGCAGTGGTAAATCTGGTCTGAACACTTAAGTGAGGGTAGCTCCTGCCTGTTTTGATTGCTTTTAAAATTCCCTTTTTGTGCCTCACTGAAAAACCATCCAATTATCAAGTATTCTGTGGTGCTCACGATTTCTTATTACCTTGTCTGAGCACACTACTTGCCAATGACCTGGACTCTCAGAACCAGAAGGTACATTAGAGACTAGAGAAGTCAGGTGACTTGCAGCTCATACAGTGAGGCAGGGCTATAACTTGTACTACATATAACCCAGGTCTCCCACTACGGGGTTCTCTTTCATGCATTTAACCTGCATCATTGAGAAAAAATAAAATACACACACACACACACACACACACACACACACACACACACACACACGCACCTCTCCCCTGTTATAATGGTTCCAAAAACACCAAACCCACTGCAATTGGGTTTTCTGAAGTTGCCTCCCCTGTCTCAAATTGCCTCAGTTGTACCCCCAAGACTGGCTCTGACCAGACTGTCTCAGACTAGAGGACTACCTTATAGACACCTTGGGGCTTTCCAATGTGTTTCTTTATTTCCTCCCCTATCTCTTCCTTTTGCCCTTCAGCAAGATTTCTAGAAAGTCTGGCCCTCACTCTCCACACCCCAACAAACATCTGCGATGACATGGATTCATCCACCCTCCCATCCTAGGATGCTCTCTGGGCTGCTTTTAGCCATCATTGGAAATTGAAAGACGTGACATGGAGGAGGTGGGGGTATCCTATCCAGTCTCAAGAAATTCTCAAGGATGCATAATTTTTCTTATTCCCCACCTGCTGCACATCAGCAGCCTCTTAAGTTTGTCTTGATATTTTCTCTGGCCTCACTGTCAGTCAGTGACATTCAGTAATTTCAAAGCCCCCAAAGTTTCAATCTGAGTTTGCATATTTAGAAATGGGCTTTTGTGAAGGGTGGAACTCAGATCCTAAGAGCATCTCACAGAAGAATTTCCAAAGTGGCAGCGGAAATTATGCATTGCAGGAGGGGGTGCCCCCAGCTACTTCCAAAACATCTAAGGATCTAGCCACTTTCTAGGCTCCAGCACCTTCTTAGGAAAGCCTCTGCAGACGCACTTCCAGAGTTCCCACCTGCCAGACGTCCCCTCCACCCCGCAGGACTCTAGGCCCTTGGGGTCGGTCACAGCAGCCTGAGAGCCCAGCCTCCTTAGTGCCCCTCATGAAATTCCTGGAAGCCCCTTTTGTCCGAGGTACAGCAAAGCTGGTGCGAGCCAGGACGCATGCCCACCCATCTGCTCAGACACCCACCTGTGGAAGAAGAGCAGGATGGAGAGCATGGTCTGGTCGATGTTGCGGTTGCAGATACCCTCGTTGAGCAAGTAGCAGGGGTCTCGCAGCACGGGCTCTAGCGAATCCTGCCGCATTATGCTGTTGAGCTTGTCGGTGTTGAGGTTCTCAAAGATCAGCTTCTCCTGAAGCTGCCGAAAGTTGCTCACGGTGGGGCTGCCTGGGATCTTGTTCTGCCCGCTGCTGTCTCCCAGGAGCCCACTTCGGTGGGCCAGGTCCAGGCAGCAGTTGCAGCAGTCGAGACCGACAGGTGAGCGGCAGTCGGTCTTGGGCTGGGCCATCTTTTCGGACTCGGGGGCCGCCTGGCCTGCCAGGTCTGGGGCGGCTGGCAGGTGCGCGTCCGCCGGGTTGGCCTGAGGAGACTCCAGGGTGTCTGGAAAAGGCAAGCTGAGAGAAGAGTTGGAAATTAGTGCCTCCGGCTAACCACCCTCGAATCGGCCCCCTTCTGGCAGGGCTGCTCTGGGTTCGAATAGAAACAGCTGGACAAACAGCTCGGAGCGGATCCTTGGGGCTCACTTCCTTTTCTTCCTCCTCCTCCCTCCGCTAGAGGCCCGGGCCGCCCCTGAGGTGCCACACTCTGCCCCGGCGCCTTCCCAAGTTTCCCAAGTGTGAGCAAGACTCGGGCGGACCTGTGGCAGCAGGAAGGGCGGGCAGCAGGGCGGCAGGGCAGAGGGGGAGCCGGGGCGCGCCCTCGTTTCCCCCTGTTCGCTCCCTCCCTCCTCCACTAGCTGGCTCACCCGCTCTCGGGCTCCCCTGGGCTGCGCCGGCGGAACGGTGGCAGGAGCCCAGCGAGTGAGCCAGCGAGCTAGCGAGCCGCACGCCCCGGAGCCTGCACGACCGTGGCACCGAGTAAATTCCCCCCGGGGGCCGAGGAGTCCGCTCCAGCTTCCCGGGGCGGGCGCCGGCCCTGAGCCCGCTCGGTCCGGCCCCCAAACCCCCGCCCCGCCCCGCCGCACCCACGCGCCCTCGTCCCGCGGGCGGCTCGCACCCGGGCCGCTCGGTGTGCCGCCTCAGCTCAGGCTCTCTCGCCCCTCGCGGCGCATCCTCCGCCCGAAATGGAAGAGTAGCCAGGCGGGGGGCCGCAGCACCCTGTCCTCCAGCTCGGTGGGAGGGCGAATATCCCGTTCCCACCGCAGACGGGTCCCCCTACAGGAGAGAGGCCGCCCTGGAGAGCCCTACTAGTTACAGCCGACGCCGCGGCCTCCACAAACCTCTTTGGGGCGGGGGTGGGACAAAGAGAAACGTCTGCTCCTGCACAAAGTCTGAGCGTGCGGGACACACTTCAGGAGTACCCAGTAAATGCCTTAAAGGAAACTCACAGAAGCACGATAAAACTCTCCTCAGTTTTGTCCCTTTCTTCTCACTTCACTTCTCTTTCCTTCTCTCCCCCCACTTGCTGTCTCCTCTCTTCCCCGAGCCCCGCCAGAGGAGATCGCTGTCCCGGCTTCCGGGAATGCGAGCTCCCCGGCAGGCTCTCTGTTGCCGAGCCTCTTCTCCCTCTTTTTTTCCTCTCTCCTCAGTTTGCCCCTCTCTCCTCACTCACTTCAGTCTTTCTGCGCTTTTCCTCCCATTCTTTCTTTCTTTTTTCCCCTCTTTATCCATTTCTGCTTTCTTTCTTTTTTGCCTCCTTTCTTTACTCGTTTCTTTTTCTCTTTTTCTGTATTTCCTCATTTACCCCTTTCTGCCCCAATTTTTCTTTTTCTGTCATGTATTTCTTTCTTCCCCCTTTCCCCCCTCATTTTATTTTCCCTTTCCTTTCCTCACTTCAGCAGACCCCCTCTTTCGCCTCAGTTTTGTTCATTTCTCTTCACTTTTCTTTCCCCACTTTTCAAACTTGCTCTCTCCTGCTTCTTTTTCCTCATCTGCCAACGTAGGTGACCTCTGCCCTTACCCTTACCCTATTAAGACCTGTGGTAATTGGTTCTACAGGAGCAAAGGAGTGTCCTGAAACTGCCAGCTGAGGGGTTCTTGGCTCTGAAGAGAAGGTTCCAGAACGCCTGACTTAAGGTGAAAGGGGAGCTTTGTGGAGAGCAAGGCAGATTGGTGACTGGGTCATACCCCAGCTTTGTGAGATGTAGGGATGTGTGCTGTGGTAGACTTCCAAGACTTGGAGACTTGGAATACTTTGACTAAATAATTATTGGCTCCTCAAAAAATTCAAAATATTTATAATGTCCAATTTTCACATAAAATTCAAATGGATTTTCAGTTTCAGTCAGCACTCCCTACCCCCCTTCAGCTCCCTTCACAAGGCCAAGGCCCTTGCAGTAGAGCAGTATATATTGCCATCTTGTGTTTAAACATTGAACGTTTTCTGCCTGGGACATAGATATCTTTGGGAGAAGCCAGAGGTGCCTCCTAGTGGAATCCACAATGTATTGGTTCTGAGAGTAGGAGGAAAGAGAAGACAGATACTTTACACCAGTGGTTCCCAACCTTTTTTTGGCCATGCCCCTCCTAAACATGTTTAAAATCCTGATGCCCCTCCCCCTGTCACATATAATTCTTATTGTTTTTAAAAAATGAACTCCTGTTCGCGTGGAGGAAGCATAAAAGGCCATTAACTTGGTCTAAACAAGCTTCCAAAGAACATGGCATCCATGAAAGAGAAAAATAAAAGAACAAATGGACAGTTAAAGTGCTGAGGAAGAAATCACTATGAAATTGTTTTAAAAATAACAATAATATGAAGTGATATGAAAAAATGGCAAATAAAGCTTCAGAACATATAATAGAGGACTTAAGTGCATAAATATGTCACTTTATATGTATATACTGTATATGAGGCCCCAAGAACCATAAGAAATGCAAAAAATTCACTGTTAATAAATCATTCTTGAATTGCCCCCCTTAAAAATCAGATTGTCTCCTCCTGTGGAGAGTGTGCCCCACGTTGGGAACCACTGCTTTACACTAAGAGGGTCCATGGCCAAGTGATACACCTGGACACCAATCTGGCCAGAGCCATCTTCTTTCTAGTGGAGCTACACTTGCCTGAGTCCTTGTAGATTGGACTTCCATAATTTGAAATTCCCTCCATGTGCCACAAGCATCAGCCCTGTGATCAAGATAAAAGGGCAGCCAATCACTCCTGTTCCCAACAGATTTTATGTGGGATCTATAAGGCCCTGTGGATGTTATATATCCCCACAGATTCCAGAAATGGAGGGAGGGTAGTTATCTCTGCTGTAGTGACCCGAAAATCAGAAACAAGCTTTACCTCTGCCTCTTGACAGGATCCCAAGATCAGAGATGAAAGAGGCATTTGGAGTTCACTGTCCAAACCACCAGAGCTAAGAATATAGTACCTGTGTTCTCACAGACTGCTGAGCATTCTTTGGTTTGATCTCTCAAAAGCCAATCTTTTATGTATGTTAATTTTCCCCTTTCTCTTTTTCAATGTATTTTCTTTTTAAATTATACATTAATTTTCCCTTTTCTTCTTTGTTATCTTTTTTTAATGTTCTTGGGTAAAAGCCGGAGGACATAGTTGAATATGAAATTTCATATGCATTATGTAAACTTATGGCCAACTGAATTGTTTTTTAATTACAGTTTTTATGAATTTCCCTCCTGTTTATAATGATTTAATGTTAAACTTTATAACAAAATATATTAGCTCCATAAATGTTTATTTAAGTTGTGTTGTAAGAACTGTGGAAACTTTTTGTTCTTATATTTGCCTTAGCTCTCTTATCTTGATGAATAACCTTGGGACGAAGCCCTGGTTTTCTTCTTGGCATTTGGCACCATTAAACTCAAGATTTTGTCCCCTTGACATTTCTCTTGCAGTCCTTGCTCTCAAATAGTATTGTTAATAATTCAGTACAACTTTGCATACTTTATCCAGGTATTTGCATATAAAGGTATGGGAAATGGCACTTTTATCAGTGCTATTTTCTTAATCTCAGGTGAGGGACACTTTACTTTTTCCCCATAAAGATTAATAAATGATTACCATTTTAATAATTTTTTTAAAAAAATAGTAGTGGTAATAGTATAAGGCCCTGGTACTCAAGAATATCTAATTTTTAGATCTTTAAGTACTGATTTATTTTACTATCATTTGGTTTCCCATCCTCCTATTACAACTTGGATTTACTGTATTCAGAATTCACACATTTTTCTCTTGCTTAAATTCAAATACATCCCCCCCCCCCCCCCGTGGAAGCATTCCAACTAGAAGTGTTGAAATGGTTACTTCTAAGGAGGAGGTGGGATTAGGTGTGGGGGGAAAGAAGTGAAGGAGGTATATTTTCTAAGTTTTGTGGAAAAAATATTTTTTTTATTTTTAGAGAGAGAGGATGGGAGAAGAAAAGAGAGTGTGAGAGAGAAACATTAATATGATAGTGAAACATCTATCAACTGCCTCCTACATGCCCCACACTAGGGATTGAGCCTGCAACCCAGCATGTGCCCTGACCAGGAATTGAACTAGCAACCTTTCAGTGCACAGGACGATGCCCAACCAACTGAGCCACATGAGCCAGGGCAGGACTTTCTAGTTTTATTATTTGCCAAAAAATTAGTATGTTTTGCTTGTATAAACTAAATATCTTTATTATAAAATACATGATTATTTTAGAAAATTGCTAATGCAGGATGTTATTATTATCCTCTGAAATTTTGAGTCTTTATTCCAGACCAAACACCTTATAATATTGATAACAATAGTTAACATGAGTGAACCTTTACTATATGCAAGGCACTATGCTAAGAGGCTTTACAATTATTTACCATTTATTCCTCATAATAAGCCTATGAGTTGACCTTATTTTACAGCTTGTTTTTTAGATATTAAAGAAGTCTCAAAATTCACTAACAATTCTGCCATCCAAAAGCAACTTTTATTTTAACTTCTCTCTTTGTAAAACTGTTTTATAGAAGTAATATATCATTGCATCATAATTTATATAATGTTTTCTTCTGGAGCTCAGAGTTTGGTATTGGAGTATGTGTATATGTGTGTTATGAGATAAAACTTGTGATAGAAAGAAGCACAGGGTGGTGATGGGAGGAATGCAGAGTGGGCATACCTACCCCAGATTATAAGGGCCTAGGAAGGCTTCCTGGAAGAGGTGATGCTTAAACCGAGCCTTGAAAAATGAATTGGGAAGGCTGAGCCCATTTTCTAATGCCTAGTAGGCATTCATCTAATGAGATAGTGGAATAAGACACTTAGTGCCTAACAGATAATAAGGACTCAATAAATGATAGATATTATTATTATTATTACCTGACACTTTTAAACAAATTTGAGTGGTATCTTCTGTTTGCTTTG